AAAATAAAAAATAATAATAAAAAAAAAGAAGGAAATTAGGCAACCCAAGTCACATTGTGACCTTGGGTCGTAATCGGGCGCGGAACTTTTTTATTTTTTAATTCAATTATTGGTGGGATTGGATAAGGAATATGACACTTGTCTTTTTCTGATTGGCCACCATAATTTTAATGTTATAAGATAACTCAATTATTGAACTTACTAGTATCTTCACCCGTGCGATGCACAGAACATATTTATTAAAATATTTTAATAAATACATTAAAATATATATCATAAAAAATAAATGACAAATAAATAACATTATTATTGAATAGATAGTAAAAGTACAATATTATATGGTATTACAAATTATGAAAAACTTCTTGATAGACAATATTTTTAGAATTATCGTCCCCCCACATATTAATATCTTAAATCTTGTGGATTAGTGACTCGAGACACATCAACGTATAATTGACCAAGACTAATAAACACCAGTTTTTTCATGTAAAGTCCGACATGGAATAACGACTGCTCTTGACTCTTGTTGATTGTCATTGCGTAAGAAAACATAAGAGTAAATTGTCTACGTTGGAACTTGAAGGGTATCATGAGATCAGATGGAGTTAGGGAAAATCTTGATACCAATACCTTATGTCCACCATTTGATCCTGTTAGAATCTTACATTCAAACACGTGAGTGAAAGTTTCGTTATCACCAAGCGTGTTCCACTACACAGTCCAATTGAATGATCAATGTTTCTCAACAACATGACAGGAGTCCCAACCTTTAAGTGCAATTCATGATTTGGAACACCAAAATATTTTATACTATTTAAGAACTCCAACGTATGCAGGTCATGTAAGAAATCAACACCACCATCGGATTTGAATATGAGAGAACAATATAACGACACAGATTTTGAATATGAGATTTATAGCGTGAATTACTCATATTTTGTACTCAAGTATCTTGGTAACTTTGGGTGTATTTTGTTAACCATTCACCAATAATAATGCTTAATTTTTATTGACATTAATATGATTGAAGTATTTTGTTAAGCATTCACCGGCAAAATTTCAAAAATGATACATTAAGTTGGCGTTGTCAACAAAACAAATATTTTGTTGTCCCTCACGAAAAGGAAATATTTAGTTGACAATTTGGTCGGAAAGATACATTAATCACTCAACCTGGATAAATAACTGACGTGGCCGGATTAGATAATGACGTGACATTATAAATTTCCTTTATTTCCTACGTGGCGTGATGTGTCTGGCATTCTTCTTTCCAAGTACACAACTACCCATAGATAAATAAAAATAAAAATAATCCAAAAATAAATAAATAAACAAATAATAAAAACACATCAAAATAAAATAAAATAACAATAATAATAATAATAATAATAATAATAAACATAAAAAATAAAATAAAATCCAAAAATAAAAAAATAAAAAAAAATAGAAAAAATATATTTCGTTCTATTTTGTCAGCTATATATTAATAAAATATTCAAAAAATTTATATTTTGTTAATATATATTAAAAACTAAAAAAAAAATATTTCGTTAATATTTCGTTTAATATAAATATATTTCACTAATATATATTAAAAAATACTAAAAAAGAAAAATGATATTCATTAATAATAATAATTATATATAATTTATTATACTATCAAATATAATACTTTACATAATATTTTATTTATTTAATATATATAAGTATATTAAATATAAATATAAATTTATATTTAAATAAATTAAAATATATTTTTTAGATATATATTTTTGAAATAAATTAAAATATATATATTTTTGAAATAAATTAAAATATATTTTTTAATATAAATTTATATTTTTTGAATTATATTTAATACTTATATATATTTAGTAAATATAATTTTATGTAAACTACTATATGAGATAATATAATTAATAATAAATTATATATAATTATTATTATTAACAAAATATTTATATATATATTAGCGAATATATTTATATTTAATGAAATATTAACAAAATATTAACAAAGTATTTTTTATTTTTTAATAATTTTTAATATATATTAACGAATTATAAGTTTTAGAATATTTTATTAATATATAGTTTAGGAAATAGAACGAAATATTTTTTTGTGTTTGGATTTTTTTAATTTTTCTATTTTTTTTATTTTTAGTATTATTATAATTATTTTTATTTTTTTTGTTGATGTGTCTTTATATTTATTTAGTTTTGGATTTTTTTTATTTTATTTTTATTTATCTATGTGTAGTTGTGTATTTGGAGATAATGATGTCACATCACGCCACGTATATAACACGTAAGAAACTAAAAAAAGTTATA